GAGTGCTGGACTTGATGACCTTCTGAGGTCTTTTCCAGCTCTGTTTCTATGATTCTGTGATCATGGCTGGTGGCCTACAGAAAGGTCTGCACTGGTTTGAGAACCACTGTTCTAGGGAAAGGAAGGTGAGCGGAGCAGAATAAGGAGAATGATCTTTAAAAAGCTCAGCAAACTGGTAGGTCAGGTCCCATAGGAAGAAAATCAAAGGAAAAATGTTGTTCAGTTCAGCTGGCAGTTTGTCAAGGGAACAATAATAAAGACATAATTTCAAATTATCCTGATTCGAGAGACAGCTAGGAAGAACAGTAACAGGCCAATACTGCTTCACTAGAAGATTTACCCAGTTCAATTTGGGTCCTTACTTCAAATATGTTTTGTTTTTCTTCGTTTAAATCATTACTCTGGGGTGGGGTTGGGGATGAGAGGTTCAGTGTGCAGGCTGCCCTGGGGAGAGAGGACAAAGCTTCTGTCACCACAGCAGCTGGAGGCCAGGTGAGAAGCATCTCTCTATAGCCACTGCAGCACAGCTGAGGGACAGACAGACACACAAGCAGACACATTCTCTGTAATATATAGTAGGCAGCTAGCTGTTCCTTTCTGCACTCCAGCCCCCTGCTGGCCTAATGGGGTTATAGCTGTCCCAGTCCCCATCTCTGGCCCCTTATTGCTTCCCTCAGGTCAACAAGTAGAGTTACATTGATGTAAGATGCCTTGCATCAACAGAATTATGTAGTGTAGGGCAGGGCTTGGCCTTTCTGATTTTGTCCCTGAATGCTTATACTATTCATTTGTGCTGCTCCTTAGCAATCAGTCCATGTTTCCACTTTTTACAAGATTCCTTTCTGATTGTCAAATAACTAAAAAAGCTCCTAATCTTATCATTTATTTTAGAAATGTGTGTCTGTCTGTCCATCTGTGAGTTCAAGAATTCCTCTTAAACAGTAAGAGCTAGGATAACCTAATTTGGTATAAGTGGTGAGGAGTCCTGTGGCACCTTATAGACTAACAGAAGTGTTGGAGCATAAGCTTTTGTGGGCAAAGACCCACTTCATCAGTCATCTGATGAAGTGGGTCTTTGCCCACAAAAGCTTATGCTCCAACACTTCTGTTAGTCTATAAGGTGCCACAGGACTCCTCACCACTTATACCAAATTAGGTTATCCTAGCTCTTACTGTTTAAGAGGAATTCTTGAACTCACAGATGGACAGACAGACACACATTTCTAAAATAAATGATAAGATTAGGAGCTTTTTTAGTTATTTGACAATCAGAAAGGAATCTTGTAAAAAGTGGAAACATGGACTGATTGCTAAGGAGCAGCACAAATGAATAGTATAAGCATTCAGGGACAAAATCAGAAAGGCCAAGCCCTGCCCTACACTACATAATTCTGTTGATGCAAGGCATCTTACATCAATGTAACTCTACTTGTTTACTCCAAAATTTCATTCACACCCACGTAACTCTCCTGCCCCTCCGTCTTAATACCTCCACTTCCATGCGAGGCATAGAATCAATGCTGATGTATTTGAGTTGACGCAGTGTCTGTATGGACATGGCATTGCTTACATTGACTGCTGCTGCTGGCTTTGAGAAGCCATTCCACAGTTCCCTGTGCTAACAGTTCTATCGGTGCAAGTGCTCCTGGTGAGGATATGCACCACAGATGGAAAAAGTAAAGCATAGACATGCACAAGTGATGCAGTTACTGCAGCGATTGTATGCCCTGATCTAACTCCCTCGGCAGTGCCCAGACTGACCTGTTATACTACAAGTACCTAGAGGATGATAGTATATAAGGATAGCCAGCATGGATTTGTGAAGAATACATCATGCCAAACTAACCTAATGTCCTTCTTTGACAGGGTTACTGGCTTAGTAACCCTGGATGAGTGGGGAGAAGCAGTAGATGTGATTTATCTTGATTTTAGTCAGGTTTTTAACACAGTCCCACATGACATTCTCATATACAAACTGCAGTAATTGAAAATACTATTAGGTGGGAGCACAACTCGATAATACACCATACTCAAAGAGCTGTTTCAGTGATTCACTGTCAGACTGGGGGGCATACCCAGTAGTGTCCTTCCACAGAAGCAGAGAGTATGCTTATAAAATGTGCACGATATCAAGCTGGGAGCAGCTGCAAGCACTTTAATTAACAGGATTAGAAGTCAAAATGACCGTGACAAATTGGAGAAATAGTCTGAATTCAACAGGGCAAAATACTATAAAGACAAAATGCAAAGTACTTTGATTAGAAATCATAACTACAAAATTGGAAATAACTGGCTAGGTGGTAGTACCACTGAAAAGGATACTAGGGTTATTGTGGTTCACAAATTGCAGGAGTCAACAATGTGAGGCAATTACAAAAAAAGCTAATAACATTGTGAGGTTTATTAATAGGAGGGTTGTATGTTAGACATGGGAGATAACTGTCCCCCTATACTCAGCACCAGAGAGACCCCAGCTAGTGTACTGTCTGCAGTCCTGGGCAGCACACTTTAGAAAAAATGGGAACAAACTAGAGAGAGCTGAAAGGAAAGCAACAAAATTTGCAATAGGTTTAGAAAACCTAACCTGTGAGGAAAGATTTAAAAAAAAAAAAAAAGAGCTCTGATTAGTCTTGAGAAATCTGAGCAGGAACCTGAGAAGTCTTCAAATATGTTAAAGGCTGCTAGAAAGAGGACACTTCGGCTATGTCTACACTTGCGGCTTCTTGCACAAGTATGGCCATTCTCGCGCAAGAATCTGCAGAGCGTCTACACTGCCCACCCGCTCTTGCGCAAGGAAATTTACAGTACGGTGTGGTAAGAGAGAGCTTCTTGTGCAAGAGCTATGCTCTTTTTTAATAGGTGTAAGCCCTCTTGTGCAGGAGCTCTTGTGCAAGAGGGCAGTGTGGACGCTAGGTGGGGATTTCTTGCGCAAGAAAGCCTTATGGCTAAAATGGCCGTCAGAGCTTTCTTGCACGAGAAAGTGTCCACACTGCTCTTGCACAAAAGCACAGCACACACTTGGCAGCGTGGATGTTTTCTTACGCAAGACTTCTTGCACAAGAACCCTTGTGCAAGATGTTCTTGTGCAAGAAGCTGCGAGTGTAGACATAGCCTTAGGGTATGTCTAGACTACATCCCTCTGTCTACAGAGGGATGTAAATTTGACATACCAAAATTGCTAATGAAGCGGGGATTTAAATATCCCGCGCTTCATTGGAATAAAAATGGCCACCACTTTTTGCCGCCACGGCACTTTGCCGGCAAAAAGTGGCAGTCTAGATGGGGATCGGTCAACAAGGAAAGCCTTTTCTGACCGATCCTGTAAACCTCGTTGCGTATTTAAATCCCCACTTCATTAGCAATTTCGGTATGTCTAATCTAAATCCCTCTGGCGACAGATGGATGTAGTCTCGACATAACCCTTATAATTGTTCTCCATGTTCACTGAAGACTGGACAAGAAGCCCAGGCTTAATCTGCAGCAAGGGACATTAGGAAGAACATTTTATCTACCAGGGTGGTTAAGCACAGAAATAAGCTTCCAAGGGAGGTTGTGGAATCTCCCTCATTGGAGGTTTTTAAAAACAAGTTGGACAAATACCTGCCAGAGCTGGTCTAGGTTTACTTGGCCTGGCCTCAGCCCCGGGGCTGGATTTGATGATGTCTCGAGGTCCCATGCTGCTCTCTGTTTCTATGATTTGTCATAACCTATAGCAAGTGCCAGCTCCAATCTGGTCCCCTCCATGCTCACAGCTCCTTCATTCATATCTGAATACAGCAGCCATGTTAACTTATTCCGCAGCTATTAAACTCCTCTGTCCCCATCTTCCCTCAGCCCTGCCTCTTCCCTGTGCATACTCCTTGACCTACAACACATCTGGGATTGCTTTTAAGTATGGGAAGGCTGCCCCATGGTACCTGGCTCTTAGGTCCCTAGCTGCAACAAATGGTACCGTTCATGCTTCTGAGAAAGACAGTTTTGGGGCTTCCCAGTGTACAAGTAGGTGTTTAATGTGGGGAAAACAATCGATCATCAGCATGGTTTTATTGTGGGGATTTATCATGTGGCAGGATTCCTCCTGCATGTAAGCACATCTGACCATAAAAACCACCACAAAGCCTCAGACCACTGGTCTCCCTAGCTCACTACCCTGTTGCTGATAGTGACCAATACCACGATTTAGGGAGAGAGTAGAGAACACAGTAGTTGAGTTCTGGAACAGGCTTCCAATGGAGGCTTTGGATAGAGATGTAAGCAACTAGTTGACCAGTGACTAGTGACTAGTTGACTAGTGACTCGACTAGTCGCTTCTCTGTCAGAAAGAGGCAGCAAGATGGGGGGTGGAGAGTGGGAGCCAGTGCTTGGGGGAGCTCGCTTAAAAGCCGGCTCCCCCCCAGCACCATCTCTGTGGGGGAAGGGGACACAGGCAGAGACGTAGCAGGGGACTGGGTGCAAGCAATCTGATTCCCAGCTCACACCTGATCCCCCTGCCGCACTTGTGTTTTTTAAAAGTATTAAGAGCCACCAGACTCTTAATACATTGAAAAGGCTGTAATGCAGTGGGGTTAAAATTGACTAATCAATTAGCTGATTACATTTAACATCCCTTGTTCTGGAATCCCAATCACTGGAGATTTTTAAGAAGAGATTGGAAAACACGTCTCAGGGATTGTCTAAGGTCTGCTTGGTTCTGCTTCAGTGCAAGTGTCTGGGTTTGCTGATGTGTAATGGACTTTTCCAGCACTACCCATCTGTGATTAATATTCTGATCTCCCAGAAAGGAAGAGAAAACAAAACTAGATATAGACAAGTAAGTAAGATAGACAGATAAGATATATAGAGAAAAATTTTCATGGACAGATGATTCCAGTACTTTTCCATGGAACATACACCAGGGAAAAAGCAGATTCTTTAGTCCTTGATTAAAGTAAATCAGGCTCCCTTATATTGTCTTCTCACTGTCCTGAGTTGCCAGATCTGCAAGAGAAGTGGAAACTCACCCCATAGTAGATTCCCTCATGCTCACAGCCACACTGCTCTGGCGGGACACACTGCTCCCGGCTTTGCAGGTACCCGTCATTGCAGAAACACCCTTCAGAGCACAGGGAGCTGCAGTGATGTTCAAGAAAGAAGCCTGCACACAGGTCCTGACAGGGACGCCCACAAAGCTTGTAGTGACTGTTTGCTGGACAGCGAGGATCTGTGAAAAGAATTGGGAGTGGAAAATGGGTATGAATCTTTGGCATGACTATATCTTACACTCCCACGGTTACTAGTAAGAACGTTAGCTTTGAGAAGTCTCAGA